AAACATTGAAAAAGAGTAGACAAGGAATGATTGAGAGAGATTAAGCAAAGCCAAAAACCTATTAGAGTGTGTTTGGTAGGAAAGGAAAATGTTTACCGAGAAAATATTTTCTTGGAAAACAAGTTGGTTTCTAACTTATTTTCTCATGTTTGGTTGGTGAGTGGAAAATATTTTCGTGTTTGGTTAGTGAATGAAAAATATTTTCCAGAAAATATCTTTTATTCTTGGCTAGAGAGTAGAAAATACTTTTTAGGAAAATAATTTATGATTCGGAAACCAACCCCAACAACCGATCTGAGACCCGACCCTGACCCCATCACCCGAATTGGGACACGACCTCGATGACTGGTCCAGAATCTGACCCAGGACTTAACCCAAACTTCCAACGCACAACCCGACATTCTAACTGGGACTAGACCCCGTCATTTGAATCGGGACACGACCCGACAATCGATCTGGTATCCGATCCCGAGACCTGACCCAGGACCTGATCCCGACTTCGAACCCAAGACACGATATTCAAACTAGGACCCGACCCTAGGGCTGGGCATAAAATACCGAAAACCGAATTATCAAACCGGACCAAATTTTTTGGTAATTTGGTATTTGGCATGGTATTCGAGAGTAAAATTTTAGAATTATGGTATTCGGTATTTCCCGAATACCAAATTATTTACTTAATGAAGGTCATATATCAACATATTTGTTACTTATTAGTACAAGTCCAAACATAAAGTTATAGAATAAGCATGAACAATCCAAATATATGTCTTTTAGTTGTATCGATTTGCTTTTCTTGATGTCTTCTTACTTGTTGATCTTCTCTTATATCATGCCTCCACATTAAAAAAAATTAGAAATAATTGGAGAAATAGTATTAACTTTGTAATACAATCGGCTAGAACTTTAATAAGGTATTAACGAATGTTGTACCAAATCGAAGTTTAATTTACCATTTTCTGAATTACCAAATTGAAATTTAAAATTTTGGTATTTGGTATCTACTTTAAACTACCAATTACCGAATTACCAAACCCAAAATTTGCGAAACCCGAATTGAATATCGAATATCGAATGTCCACCCCTACCCGACCCCAACACCCGAACCTTGATACGATCTGGACGACCGATTTGGGATTCAACCCTAACACTTGACCTGGGACCTGACTCTGACTCCCGACCTAAGACTCGACATTCGACCTAAACCGAACCCTAACCCCGACACAGACACCCAACCCCAATGAATGATTCAGAACTCGATACCCGAACTAAGACCCGACACCCAAACTAGGATCCGACACCCGAAATACAATTTGACTTTCGAACATAATTTGATCTCGACACGCGACGTAGGACCCGACTTCCAATTCAAGACCCAATTCAGGATCGACCTTCGACTCTCAATCCAGTACTCGATTTCCAAACTAAGACTTGACTCGACTTCAGATCCAGGACCCGACTTTCAAACCACGATCCAACTTTCAAATCGAGATCCGTCTTCGACACTCGATCTTGACAATTGATTCGGAACCCAAACTCGACATCTGATCTTGACGATCGATTCGGAACCAAACTCGACACCTGATTTAGGACTTAAACTCGACTCTCAATTCAAACTCTGACTCTGACATCCAACTTAGAACCCCACCCTGACACCCGATTCGAGATTTGACCTCGACAACCGACTCAAAATCCGACCTCGAATCCTGACATGAGACTCGACACCCAAATTGAGATTCGACCCCGATCTGACCCGAAAGTTAGGTCTCGAATTGAGGTCGAGAGTCGTGTCCCAAATCAAAAATCATAAGTTTGATCCCGGAGTAGTATCGAAAATCGGTACCCAAGACTTGAGTTAGGGTGAAAGTTGAGGTGTGAGGTTGAAACAGAATTTTGGAAAATATTTTCCTTATTATTTTTTTTGGTAAGTCATTTTCCTTAAATTTGAAAAAAATAAGTTGATTTACAAAATATTTTTCAAAATGTTTAAGCTAACCAAACATGAAGGCTACAAATTTTCCTGATTGTTGTTCTTCAAAAATATTGAAAAGGGTGTCCTAGAGTTAAGTTAAGGGGCAAAATTAGAGTTTGTGATTTAGGTCACATGTTTATGCCCTAAGCCATGCAAATTATATTTGAAATTCAAATGAAAAGGGTGTCGAATGACAAATCCATTATCGCTAATTAAGTTTCAGAGGTTGCGTTTGTCCTAAAGGATGGTCCATATATATATTTTTATCATTACTTTATAAAGTATTCGGATAGTTTGAATGGCTAAAAGTTTATTCATATTCAATATTTACATTGCGTTGATAAATACATTATATGTGTTTAGACATAAGTATTTAATATTTAATCATGGATAATTAATATACGTCCTCATCATATTAAATTAGTTAATTGTATTAAATTTATATGATTTGATGTAAATATGTGATTGTGATAAACAATTACGGAGTACTGTATTCTATGAGTTATACTTATAAATAAAAGAAAAAAAGGAAATGATGATAATACATTGAATTGCCTTGTATTTTTATCTACGGACCCCATCTTAATGCATTGAATATTATGATTATATTTAGTTGCCACGCTTGATACTTACTGTTTTAATATATGCATATTGCAAATACACAATTGATTATATTTTGGCACGTCTATTAAACTTTATTTTCAAAAGATAATGGTGTCCTTTTCAAAACCAGTTGAATTTAGTCTCATGCCCCTCCATTTTTTCCCTTCCATTTTTGCCAAAATAGACTAGTGCCTTATTAGGACTTATACAAAAAAAAAAAAATCCAAAATAAAATATGTTTCCCAAAAAAATAAAAGCAATTATTCATTTCCGTAATAAGATATTTTGTAAATTCATGTGCATTTCAAAGTTTTTGAATTTAAAAGCAAGTATTAACAATAAGATCTCTCATTAATCCTACTAGAAAATGGATGCACTAAAACACAAATTCACCGATTTGGCTAAAAAAAACTATAAAAATAAAAATAGGAGAGTTCTTGGATTTAGGTGGCCTAATATATAAAAATTGATTTTTTTTTAAAATAAATTATTTTGGCTTTTTGTGTGTCCACTTGAGAATTATGTATATAAGGGAAGATATATATATATAATATAGATTATTAGAGAAAGCTTGCATGCCTCCTCGTAGCAAACTCTAATAATTGATGTCATGCATTCAAGCATCTTGTTTATAATTGTGTCTCTATTTTCCTAAGCTGCCATGTGATTTACTAGGGTACCTTTGGTCTCTCATATTTTCAACCTATATATACATATACACTTATTACTGACATATGTCATATATATATATATATACCCAAAAAAAATTCCTACTCATGGAACTAGGGATGGTAACAGGATAGTGCGAGTGCAGCGCGATCCTTTATAAGGGAGAAATTCAAAATTAAAGGGCATAAGAACACTTTTAAGAAAAAAAAATAATTTATCAAGACGGTACGACTTCAAGAGCGCTCTATAGGATATAGGGAGAAACTCAAAAAGGCGCAAGAACGTTTTCAAGAAAAAATATAATATTATTTGTAAATTCAAAGTTCAACCTAACTCTAAAACTATTTAATCACGATGTGTTTGTCCCCTTATAAAGTCAATTTGCTTGATATACGTTAAATTATTTAATTATTGTCCTAATGAATCAAAACCTCTTTAGTTTGAAAGTAAAATTAATACTTCAAATAAATCATCTCTATTGTTACATAATTTGATTCTTAAGGAGCACAAAATGAAAAGATTTTTAAAAAATAAAAAAATAAAGAAATCAGGGGAACACCAATTACAATGCTTTAATTTTTAACATAATAGTAATAGTGGTTAATAAGAAAGAATGACATTCTTAACTAATTAGCAGTGGTTAAAAGATTGAATTAGAATCTGTAATATAACATTTCTGATTGTGATCTCTTGACTCTTGACCATTTAGCTAATTAATCATCACATCAACAAATGCAAGATTATGTTTTATTACTATTTATTTTAAATTTATTTTTATTTTAATATCAAGTGCCAATAAGCATATACCGCTAGTGTAAAGCTTGCAAATCCGTCGAATTGTCCAAATTCTAAACCTTATACTTATCTATAAAAAAAATATTAGACAAATTTGATGTATTCCTGCGTTAATATCAAGTGCCAATAAGCATTTACCCCGGACTAAGCTAATGTAGAGCTTGTAGATTCATCGAATCCAATATAACTTCAGTCCAAACTCTAAACCTTATATTTCTTTTTTCTTTTTCTTTTTTTTTTAAAAACAACTATTAAACATGTATAAATTATTTAGTTTAGAACCCAATAATTAAAAGAACTAGAATCATGAACCCCAATGTAGCTACATTGACCTGAGTGTCAAGGGTGGTCAATAGAGCACCCTTAGTCGAAAAAATATATTGTGTGTGTAAGTTAAAAGCAACTTTCTTATAGATATATACGAAAGTTTTGAACACCTTGAGCAAAACTCTCAGCTACGCCACTGCTAAACTCAAAAATTCCTTCTTTTTTTGGCTACTCTATGATTCTAACTTTCCATATTGCAAACTTAAGACCATAAGATTAAAAGATACTTAATTTACGTATCTTTAAGTTAAGACGACAAGATTCAAAAATCTTATTTACTTTCTTAAACTAGGTGTTAAGTATCAAATAAACGAATTGAAACGGAGAGGGAGTAGGTTGTTTTGAAGGTATGAAATAGAGTGAATAGTACTCAAATAATATAGACAAGTAAACAAAAAAACAAGAATTGCGCGTGGAAATGAATTTGGATTCATGTTGTTTGTCTCTCACACAAACAAAAAAACTTGATACATCATCTTGTATTCATTATGCTTACAATTATTACTATTATTCTTTCTTCCCTCACTCACCTCGCATGCCCCCCTCCCCCCTTCCCTTTTTCTCACTTGTTATTATTTTCCCCTATATATACTCACTTCCCTGTTCCTAACTCTCCCCACCTCCTATCTCTCTTTCTCATTTCTTCATACAAACTGTTTTTTCTTCATCCATGGCTGTTTCTGGTTTCGAAGGATTCGAAAAGAGACTTGAACTACACTTCTCTGGCGATGATCCAATCATCCGAATGGGTGGTCTCCGTCAACTGGACTTCGAATCAATTGAAGAAATACTAAATGCAGTGCAATGTACTGTAGTATCAGCTGTTGGGAATCAATACTTTGATTCTTACGTATTATCGGAATCAAGCCTCTTTGTTTACTCAACTAAAATTATCATTAAAACATGTGGAACTACTCAGCTATTGAAATCAATTCTTCCATTGATTCAATTTACATCCGAATTGGGATTCATTATGAGTGAATGTAGGTATACTCGAGGGAATTTCATTTTCCCCAAAGCTCAACCTTACCCACACACAAATTTCAACGATGAGATCTTTTATTTACAAGAACAATTACCGATTCATCTTTGTTATAGAAAAGCCTCTGTTATGCCATCCAAATTCATTTCTCATTCGTGGCATGTATTCACTGCTTGTAACGAAGAACCTAACAACGATCTCTTCACTATTGAAGTTTGTATGACAGAGCTTGATCGGGTACTTGCTAGGAAGTTTTTTAAGCATCCAAATATGGCTTCAAATGAAATGACGGAAGTTACTGGAATTTCGGAAATTAACCCAAATGCTTTGATTTGTGATTTTGTTTTTGATCCTTGTGGATATTCCATGAATGGCATTGATGGAGATCGTTATTCTACGATTCATGTTACCCCTGAAGATGGATTTAGTTATGCAAGTTATGAATGTGTTGGATCAATTTACGATGATCCCAATGATATTATTAACATATTGAAGAAAGTGGTGCAAGTTTTCCGGCCGGGGACTATGTCGATTTCGACTACGTCGACCAGCAATGAGGTTTGGACGAGAATTGCTAAAGCTGTTGAACCACTAGGGATGAAATGCCGGAGCTGCACAATGGATGATTTTCCGTCAACCGGAAGTGTGGTGTTTCAGACTTTTACGTCTTGCCGGAAGTAGGTGGCGGAGCTGCGGCGGCGGTGGTGGTAGGAAGGTGGCAATATGGTGGTACTAGCACCTTCTGTGATGGTAGATATGTGGTTTTGAGAAGTAAAGGGAGGAAGTAGGGGACCTTTTCTTTTTCTTCTTGTTGTTTTTTGTATTTTTCTTTTTTTATTTTATTTTAATTTTGTTAGTTTTTTTAGTTGAAAATTTTTTAATTAAAAAGAAGTAGAAAAATATTGATGCATGAGTTGGATTGGATGGTAGATGATCTTGATGATCATCAATGTAAGCTTTGACTTGTGTAGAGTGATGCAAGTAAATTTTCACCATAAGGTTATCCTAGGAGTTTCTATTAAGAAAATATTCATTAATGGTATATGTTCGATCTGAAATCTATTTTCATTCCAAAAAATGTGGTGTGGATTCATCTCTCTCGACCAATTCAGGTGAGAGGGAGGTGAATCTCGATATCTATGTAGTGAAAACTGTTTATCTTGACTTTCAATTCATAAGGTTAATAATCGATTGTATAAAGATTTGGAAGGAGAAGAGAAAGGAAGATAGTGGGCTTAGGTTAATATATCATGATAATGCACCCCACTTTATGTTTGTCACGCCTAGAGAAATTTGTTTGAGGTTGCATGTTTATGTGTTGTTAGTAGTGGGGGATGTTAAAAAGTGGATGAATCTTTTTGTTGCTAAGTTTTCATTTTGTCTTCCTTCTCATCTATTTGTCTCCAATGAGAACTTGCATGGGCTTGTCATGGTTTTTTTCTCCATGATTAAGCATGCATATTAATTAGTTATATATATACTTTTATGGTTATTATGAGTGGCTTAAAATTATATGGTTAAGGTATTAACACAACAAGGTGCAAAAAAAATAAAATGAAAGCATAATTATAAGTAATTAGGACAATCTCTCTCTCTCTAGTTTTCTTCCTTTTATGAATGTCGTTTTGCTAAATAACAATAATATATCATGATGCTAGATGTTTTTTGTTGTTTACCATTTCTCTCATATATACGTTCTTGATATACAAATATATAGGTTTTTTTCTTACATTAATAATAACAAACTCAATGTAATCCACATGTGAGGTTTGGGGTATAGAGTCGGCAGACCTTACTTCCACTTAAAAATATAGAGAAATTATTTCTAATAGGCCATCGATAGTTGGCTCATGAATATGTTCTCTTTACATTGCTAACATGAAAAGTGCTACCTAATTAGACAACAATAACTAAGAGATGATTAAATCAAACTCGTGAAATTGTGAACTAAATTATGTTATTTTGGTCATTAAACTGTCCAGAACAAACTTTAGCACTTTCCACAAAGTGTGTATTCACCCATAATGAGGGATTATATGCACCGTTATGATCTTCTTTTAGGCCACTCTTTAAATTATGTTTCCTTTAGTTAATTGGATTAAATTTCACCTTTAAAGTAGTAGGACAATTATTTATTGGAAAAATTACAGAAATCTCACCTTTTAGTTTACTTAATTATCCCCTATAAGTTTTACAAATCTCCAAAATCCCTCATTTTCGCGCATCAGATTAGTGTATCAGCGCTTGTATTATTGTATCTCACGCATCAGATTAATGTATCAGCACTTATATTATTGTATCTTGTGCATCAGATTAATGTATCAGCGCTTATATTATTGTATCTCGCGCATGTATCAACACTTATATTATTGTATCTCGCGCATCATATTAATGTATCAGCGCTTATATTATTGTATCCGTTTGAGGGATTTCTGTAATTATAAATTTTTAAGGGATAGATTGTAATTTTGCCTTAAAAATATGTGATTTCTGTAATTTGCCCTTATTTATTTATTTTGGAAACAAAGTCCACCCCACCCCCAGATCATGAGGATAAAATTTAAATAATGGCCTCAAGAAAGAAAATTTGTGCAAATTCTCAAAAATAAAGGGCTAAAATGTATAGGCTACTATTTTCAATGCCCCTAATAGATCAAAGCTTGAGTGGGCTCTAAATCTGCAAAAGAAATAGAAAAAACCCAATAAATAGAAAAAACCCAATATGCATTATGGGCCTTACACATAGGAGCCAATTCATATGTTTGGATACTATGATAATACAGAGAAACTTAATCTTTAGAAGTTAATTACTTAGATATACTAATTTGTAATATTATGAATCTTACATGATTTTGGTACGTTTAGATACATATATGTTGGAATACATGGGGTTAAAATTAGGTGTCATTTGTTCTAGATAACAAATCTCACTCACCTTTCTCCCTATTTTAGTGTATCTAGTAGCAAAAATACATATATTTAGGTGTATCTTCCTCAATATATGATAGAAAATTCTTAATTAGTGACAAAATGAATAATTATTTAAAAATATTGATAGAATTAGTATATATGATATGGATGTATGTCTAATAAGATAGTTTAAAGATACAAGTTTCTCCTCATAAAAATCTTTAAAGTTGCTATTCAACATAAATTTGTATCTTTCATCATTCTATTGTAACTTTGAAATGACATTATTTTTCTTTTTCTCAATTTTAGAATCACCATTAACACTTTTCGCAGCAACATTTTTTTCGTCTGTCATAATGAATCATATTTTTTTAAAATTTCCATAGAGCCCATGTTGTATATTTTTATACTTGTTATGTAACTATTTATGCATGGTAGCACCTTTATCGCATTTTTGCTTCCGTATTATTTCATGTTAGCTTTTACTTTCAGTATTGATTTTAGGCTTTTACTTACCTACAGGGCTATAATAGATGTCATCACGGCTCAATTTCGAATTGTGGCTAGGAAAAATCATATAACACCAAAGTAACGAACTTACATCAAATTCTAGTGATTATACATGAGTCTACGTTAGATTTAACACCTAGAATCTAAATAATCATGAATTTAAAGGTAGAAATTGTTGATTTTTTTTCTAATGTTAGAAGAAGGTAAATTGAGAATTCAAACATTGATTTGAGGTCTGATGTAAAATCTAATTATTAATTTGGACTCATAGGATTATGGTAACCCAAAACATAGTAATTTACCACAAACATATGGCTATATCTTGTGATTGTATTCATATTTTAAAAATTCTAGACTCTTGATCCAAAGGACAATAAGAATAAAAAAAAATGCAAGGACTCCTCTTGCAAATTTTTGTATTATATTCATTATTTCTTACACTTTCACTCTTGACATGTCTATATGGATAATTACAATATCACGAGTTTGAATACTAATAATTTCTTTCTTCTAATTCCCTCTTTATTATTATGTAAAAAATAAAATAATAGCACACCAACCATACTTCCAACACGAAAAAATCAACATAATATAAAGGAAGCATTTCTAATCTAGCTGTCTTTTTCTCATTTTTTAAAGAGCACACAATTTTTGTTATCGTAAATTTTAATACGGTCAGATCTTTCTATAACAATCATTCTTTATAATAACATTTCATTAAAACAGTCATATTTTTTAGTGAAACCAATCTTTCATTTTATGTTATATTATATGGTTTTTCCAATTATATCATTATAGCAATCGAAAAAATATCGAAACAAACTATATTATTATAAAGAATTGTGATCATAATATAAACCTAGCACGAAATAAAAAAGGAAAGTAGGGAACAATAAACTTACATATGGAACAAAAATGAAGAGCTGGTTGTCTACTCTGCATTCAAATCCTCAATTTACCAAAACAAAGAAAGTACTTAAGTTTATGAAGTCACTTCATTAGCTTTAAATTAAGCATAACAATTGACATATTAATCAAAGAATATTTTTTTACTGTGGATGAGGGAACATATAATTGGTCAAAATAAAAGTACTAATCTGAAATTAACGTGTGGCAATTGCTACATATGATAGTGGGAATGAAACTACCTTTTTAGTAACATAAATGATTAAACATGAATTTTTTATAGTTTAATTAAGTGAGTAGTTATTGGTTAACACGTATTAGTCTTCTATTGAAAGAGCTTTGACATGCGTTTAAGCACAAAAGAAAGTTTGTTAATGTCACCTTTTTTAAATTATTTTTTATATTAAACGGGAAAAAGATCAAGAATAGCCCTAATTTATTGAAAATGTCTTAAAAATATTCTCCTTCAACCTTTTGGTCTAAAAATATTTTATATCTTTGTTTTTGATTTAAAGATATCCCTTCTTTCACCTTTGATCTAAAAATATCCCCAACTCAAATTTAATTAAATTGAATCTGCATGCTAATTAGTTAATTCTTTATTTGTTCTAAAAGATAATTTTCTATTTATTCAAATTCTTAATATTAGCTCATCCCAAAATATTTGTTTAATTATATTTGAAATGAAAATTAATTTTTTATGTTGTCAAACATTTTTTTAAGTAATAGAGAGTAAAGAAAAAGGACAAAATTTGATTTATTAATATTTATTTATAGACTTAACGATTTATCCTCATTACTAAAATAAAAAACTTATTTACTGGTTCAAATTTCAAGTAGAAAATTTTCTAATAAAATATCTATTTGTTCTGATAAAAAATTGCATTGGAGATCCTTTCTGCCAACACAACGATTACTTCATTGTCATAAGGATAACCAGCTTTCTAAAAATAATAAATAATACTAAATAAAAAGAGACATAAACACAATTCAAGATTTTACTAACATATATAATGACATTTGATGCATCAATATTGATCTCTTATTTTTTGCTTCTGATAACGTTAATGATATGTCCTTGTATTGATAATCTTTCAATAATAAAGAAATAAAAATAAAATAAACTTAAGTAAAATAATTAGAATGTGAGTTGGGTTGAAATCAGGTGATGTATAAGACCTAGGAAATATTAATTGAATTTAAAAGAACATATTGCAATCGATTCAGTAATATTCTTTGCATAAACATCTCTAATTAAAGATTTCGAGCACAAATAATTTAAAGAAAAAAGAATTAAAATTTTATTTAGTTCAAATAACAAAATTATGAATTGTTATCAAATAAAAATTTAATCAATATTAAATCCTAAATATTAGATAGATAAATAACAAAGGTTAAAAATATTTTCAAACATAAAGATGGAAAGAGAGATATCTTTGAATCAGAGACAAAATAAAGGATATATCTTAATCAAAAAATAGAAAAGAATATTTTAAAATCATTTTCAATAAGCTGCGAATATTATTGGTCCTTTACCGTATATTAAAAGATTGGTGGGGGTATTGCATTTGCCTTGGCCTTTTCAGACTTATATATGATGATGATGATTATTGTATTTCAATTTTTTAAGTATATATGTATAGTTCTACTCATTTGATTCCAAACACAGTT